CATATCAGTATTTGATGTTTCTATAAGTAGCTAAAAAATAATTCATATTAGAACTAGCAGACAACTTTACATAATTTAAAAGCAATGAAAGGGAGGTAATTCAAATATAATATTGTAATTATTATCTTTTAAATTTAATGTTTATTTAATCAAACAAAACATATTTTATAGCCTTAGGACCTCAATTTGGACCAATTTAAAAATGGGCTCAACATCCAAATACACAGTTAGATTCAGCATATGAAAAATTGTAATACTAATAGCAAAAAGTCCCAACATAAAGAATCAAAGCTCTCTTAAAATCAATTAAGAGCAATAATCCAGGAATATTGTTCTCTTTTGTATACTTTAAAATATCATAAGTCAATCGAATGTTATCCCCTATATAATGCTTAATGGTCCAATATCTAAAATGTAATTCCATGGTTAGATTCAGCATATAAAAAAAACCTATGAATTCAGTTTTTGATGAAATCAAACAAAGTTTAATTTTGGACCCTTTGGACCTCAATGTAGACCTATTTAACAAGATTGCACACACTGAAATGTCTCAACTTCTTTTCTGACCATTGATTTTAGGTTGATAGTCCTAAATATAAAGCTTTACCACAAGTATCACACAAACTTAACATGATCCAAGAAAATGAGGTCAAGGTCAGATAAACCAAATGGGAAATACATGTATACCTTACAATCATTCAATACACCAAATATAGTTGATCTATTGCTTATAGTTTCTAAGAACCACTAACCACTGAACCATGAAAATGAGGTCAAGGTCAGATGACACCTGCCAGTTGGACATGTACACCTTACAATCATTTTTTTTTTATATATTTATTCACCAAATATGCTTGTTAAATTGTTACTTCAAGAAACCAACCTTTTCTTGATGTATCCTGTAATATTCCACTGATTACCCAGGTTAGTAATCAGCTGCTGGTATATATGTATGTACAACATTTTTATGCATTATGTTTTTAATCTATTCAATCGTCTATACTTCTTTTTAGTGACTTCAGTAATGGATTAAATGTTATTGTTCTGTTTTTGTTACATCTTTTTATGTATTCTTGAACAAAAATTTGATATACATTTACATTTGTCAATTTCTGATTAGATACATAATATGATTTGTATAAAGAAAAACCTAAAATTGTTAGGAAATAATTCAGACCAAAATAATTTTTGTCAAAAAATTTATATCCGTAGACTAATTGCTTTAAGGATACTCTAAAATTTAAATTTGATTTTATCATTAACTCATGAATACTTTTCCAAAAATTTTATAAAAACTGTTGTTGTTCTGCGGTTTGCATGTTGTGTTGAATATTATTTTATTTGTTTGTGCGTTTCTCTGTGATGAGTGTTCTGTGCTGTATTTCTATCATGTAGTGTTGTCATTTTAATGTATTTTTTAACATTGCAATATAAGCGGGAGGTTTGGCTAGCCATAAAACCAGGTTCAAACCACCATTTTTTTTCTTAAAATGTCCTGTACCAAGTCAGGCATATGGCAGTTGTTATCAAATAATTCGTTTCTATGTATGTCGGCATTTGTTTTTGTTGCACTTCAGTATCCCAGTTGTTCCTTTGTTTTCCTCTTATAGTTGATGTGTTTCCCTCGGTTTTAGTTTGTAACCTGGATTTGTATTCTCTAAATCGATTTATGACTTTTGAACAGCGGTATTCTACTGTTGCCTTTATTTGGCCCCCAATTCCTAAACAGTTGGACCATAACCCCCAAAATCAATCCCAAACTTCCTTTTGTGGTATTAAACCTTGTTTGAATTCTATTCTCTTATACTAAAGTTATTGTCCGGAAACCAAATGTCTTTGGACGACGACGTGATAGCAATATACGAATGCAAATTTTTTGCAGTCGTATAAAAACAAATACTTACTAATTAGTAATCAGCGAATCACTTTCAGAAGTACAACAATTAATCAAAGTGATCTAAAATCACTAATGGAAAGATTGGAAGAATTGTGTGTATAATTTCAATCATATTTTACACTTCCATAGCAGTGGTGGTGGACAAAAAAAACTTGCTATAGCACTATTGCATATTTGTTAGTTATATTACTGCAGATTTTTAGAATGATGAGCAACTTTTCAGTGAATAAAGTAGCTTAATAGAGTTATGTCAGTGGGTCACTAAATTTGCATAATAACTTCTTTTTGATTGCAACTTAATGTTTATATTTTTTTGAAACAGAAAAAATTCCCTAATAAAAAAAAATTATCAATGTAGTTTCTCAATAAACCTGGGATCAATGGTTAAAGAGACTTGAAACTTAAAGTCCTTTTTTCATCTCCCAAAATAAACCTGTGAATGGTTGTTTTGTGGGCATGTCTGTTACTCTGTGTTCAAACATTGCTAAGTATAGCTTATTGATTTTGATTAAAACAATAACATATGATACGGAAGATGCATGGTTGACGAAAGGGTATTTTTCACATCAATAAATTTAATATGATGTTTTTATTCTACTGTCCAAAGATGGAGACTTTTAATTTTTGAGGCAAATTCTTATTTATTTCATTGAATAAATATATTACCTCACAGTATTCAAATATACTAATACCTTCTCTGATAAATGTAACCTATTAAAATTATGGATTAATTACAGATAATTGTTGCACAGATTTTGCAAGAAAAACAGACACCACTTGGATTCTTTACTCATACAGATTTTCATTTTGGTCTTTTCTCAAAAAATACATTATGTATTAATCCTTACTTAATCATCTTTCAAACAAGATTTACAGATCATTTGTTTAATGCAGTGTAAATCAAAAGGATATATATATAGGTAAAGGAAAAAATCTATCATCTGTATATAATTTTATTAAAGAAATCCCCATTTAGTATTTGTTAGTTTCAATTAAAAATGAAGACAGAGACTGACCTATATAGATGGAATTATATCAGATAATGATGAGGTCAAAGTTTGTGTATTGAGTGGTCTGCCATGTTATGTATATACTCAAGTTATGTTATTTGGTCAATTATGATTGGCATTAAGGAGGAGGCGTCTATATAAAATTCCAATTATTGTTCCACCCTTTTTGTTTAATTGTAACTTGATCATAAAAGTTGTCAACCATACTGTTAATATATCAATTCACTTAAGTAAAAAGGCAAAACTTAAAGCCAGTGATTGAAAAAAGTAATGACTATTATTTTTGAAAATATACTCTAAATTAAGATGTAGCCAAATTTCTTTCCAGTTCTCTTGTGCATATGTACATAGACATGAGAACAATTGGGAACTATATGTCAATGTGTATAGATTTAGTAGCTAATCTGTCCACTTTCTGTTTGGAGGCCAGTGCCTTAGAAAAGAATTGAAACAAGTTCCAATCTTTCCAAAAATGAATTAACCTTCTTCACTTAATGTATACAGAATCAAACTATCATACTTCTACATAATACTGAGAAAGGATATGTATTAAAACAACTCAAGCAAATTTCAAAAACAATATTAAGTAAGCTGATTACATAAATTTGATTTTGGAAATTATGTCAATATCATAGATCAGCTGTACTCATTAGAAGCAACATGGTTCCAAAACCATTTCATTTTCCAGACAAGTGCAACAAAATACGTTTTTACTTCAGTCTGATGATCGACTGAAAAGAACACCATATTAAGATTAGCCTCTTTCACAAACTATAAAACAACAAGAGCTGTCAGAATGACAGTAAACCAGATTTTTTAACATTTATTTGTGTCCTGGCATTTTTCAATATCACAAGGACCATAACTCCTGAATGGTAAAAGTGACTATCATCAATATTAATCTTGACCTCCATTTTGTCATCAGTAACAACATATTAAAATTTGAAGAGCTTTGGTTAAACGGTTCATGAGCTAAAGCAGGGACACGACTGGAAACACCATTGTTCAATCTTTCAAGAACCATAACTCCTGAACAGTGAAAGTGAAAATCGTCAATATAGAACTTGACCTCCATTTTGTCATCAGTAACAACATATTTAAATTTGGAAGGCTTTGGTTGAAAGGTTCATGAGTAACTGTACGGACACTGTTTGGCAGCCGCCCGCCATACATCCCAAAATCAATAACAGATTTTTCTTTTGAAATCCGGGTTAAAAACATTTGGGATGGAGATGATCTTTTTGACCTCATGTTTTCCCTTACCATCCTCAATCTGACTAAGTTGGTTAAATGGTTCTTTTTAAAATGACCTAATCACAAACTTAAATTAAGTTTTTAACAATGTCCCTAAACAAAAATTTGTAAGGGTTCCGCGAAACCCAGTGTCTCGCCTACTTTTTCTGTTAATTGCAGGCTCTACAAAAATGAGGAAGTAAATCAATAAAAATATTCCACTTGATACTATCTTTTGATTGTAAGAAGCTTCTGTCCAAGTTTGGTAAAAATCAAGGATAGTTTATGAATCTAATAAATGTTTAAAAATTAATGTAATGTTAACTGGAAGAAAACAAAATTTCCTTCTAGATACTAGCATTTGATCATAAACAAGCTTCTGTCCAAGTTTGGTACAAATCCAAAATAGTATAAAAAAGTTATTAAAATTTTAAAAACTTTAACCACAGAGTGAATGTAATATTTCCCGGCAGAAAAACTAAGTCCATTTATAAGTAAAATACGGAAAAATGGAATTTTATTTTTACAAAATTTACTTCTGGATACTATCTTGTGATCATAAACAAGCTTCTGTCCAAGTTTGGTAGAAATCCAGGATAGTTTGAGAAAGTTATTAAAATTTCAAAAACTTTAACCACAGAGTGAATATTTGTGGACACCGCCGCCGCCGACGGAATGTAGGATCGCTATGTCTGGCTTTTTCGACTAAAGTCGAAGGCTCGACAAAAACTCCTGCTTCATTGAGGTGGAACATTAATGTGCCCATCCATTTAAAAAAAATACTAATTATTATACGTTATTCATGATCCATGGCAAAAAAGTTCATGTATGACAATAATAACTGTCCTATACACATAAAATACAAAAATATAAATAGATTTTAATAGTTCATGTCATCTTATAATCCACAAAATTTATAATGTCTTATTTTCAATTATCCCAAATGTAACTTGATGTTAAAAAACAATATTGTAATTAAGGGTGGAGGCCAATATAATTCTGTTACAAATAAAAATAAAATTATGGGTAGTGGCATGGGGTCTTACCCAAAATGTTGCCCAATGGCATTTCAAAATAGAGCAGCATTACTGATTTATCACATAACATATGTGTATACATGTATTAAAATACTATAACAATCTCAACAAACACAAAAAATATTACATTGCTGAGTACACAAGGAGTTCTATTCCACCTTTAGCTGCCTTGCCTGTTTTGTCCAAATGCATGGCCTAGGAAATGGACACCTACAAAACAGAAATAATTTACTTACTGTAAGCTACATATTTCAATATATCTAATTCAAGCCATACCATTATAAAACTTGAAATTTCATAAATATGATGGTGTATTGACACTTTGAGAATTAATAAAATAGTAATAGCCTCTGGTTTTTGTTAGTCTTGAATGTTTTCTTAATTTTGGTTAATTTATATGTTTCGGAGTTTAGTGTGGCGCCCATTTTCGCTGAACTAGTACACATTTTTGTTGAGGGGCCAGCTAAAGCCCTCCTCCAGGTGTGGGATTTTCTCGCTGTCTTGAAGACCCATTGGTGACCTTGGGCTGTTTTCTGCTCTTTGGTCGGGTTGTTGTCTCTTTGACACATTCCTCATTTCCATTCTCAATTTTATTAAACCCTTAACATCATTATAAACTGTCAGAAATGCTAGCCGGTATTCCTGCCTTACCTGCACATTTGGGGAGAAAGATATGCATTTTGGCAACAGACAAGTATATATATGGTCTTTAATGGATAGTTGTCTTATTGGCAATTATACCACAACTCCTTATTATTTACTATTATTATTATTTATTCTAGACCAAACAAATACTGTTATCAGCTTGATCAGTTTTCTAATTTATAAAACATGTATAAGATAAGGCAACAGTAGTTAACCTGAATATTATAATCTTGTAAATCTATTAGGAAGAACCAAATTAAGGCAACTAACAATAAACTGTTGACAAAAAATTTATATATAGAAATAGTGTTACTTGTAGACGAGTTTTAAGGCTCCAATAAAATCAAATTCATTTTGGAAAGTTGCAAAAGCCTAACAAACACTTTGAAAATCAGATTTTACCCATAAACAAATGGAGTCAGCCCAGAGACCCATTATAGGGTACATAACAGAATAAAACCTAGAAATGACAGAACTAACTAACATAAAACAAGCCAATTTCAACTATAACTGCTATTATTATTTTTTGCTTATAGAATCTGACAAATAGACCAAATCAAAAAATTATTTAAGGATAGTAATGTCTATGTCACGAGACAAAAATCATTGATACCTATATATTATTTACTTAAGATAACCAAGGATTTGTATAGTAATACTATACAAATCCTTGAGATAACTGTACCTATTTTTGAATGAAGTTTGTACCAATGTACAGAAAAGTTATGACCTAGTCATTAATAAGGGGACATAACTTATTACCTCTGTTAAATCTGGAGCATGTGTTGCTGTTACATCCTAATCTTCTGTGACTAATGAACCATTACACAACACATCTATTGAATATTCCCTCGATTGATCAAAACCATCAATACCTGTTCCATCCTCCTTCTCACATGTCATATCCAAGGTTGGGGTCACCTTTTTAGGTCGACCAGGACCTCTTTTGATTACTCCATGTTGAATTATGTTTGATTTACTGGGAGAGTGTTTGCTTTGTTCAAAGTCAACCTCACTAGTCAGATCTTTACTATTAGTTACTTTTATAGGTCTCCCTCGACCACGTTTTAAAACTTCTTCAGATGCAGAACTGTCATCTTGAGGAAAGTTACTTATAAAACTGGTAATTTTCTTTGGTCTGCCAGTATGCTTCCTCTCAGATTTTTTAGGTCTTCCTCTAACCCTTTTTTCTGAATGGTATAAATCATTTTTATCTAATGCTTTTTTAGCACATAATACATCAGTTTTTTTTGGTCTGCTAGGGCTTCTCTTTTCATGATCTTCACTCTTCTCATTTTCATTATTCCGTGGAATTCTTTCTCCTGACTAAATAAAAGTGCCTTTGTTAAGTACAGTTACATTCACAATTTTTTTACAAAAAGAATGCTCACTCTAAAATGCCTCACCTGCTTTACTATTCATGATTTATTTTATGTTAATAGTCCAAAGATAAGTTTTAAAACAAGTACCTCATCATATCAACATTATCAATGATCCATGATAAACTGTTAACACAGAGATATGTCTCGCCTATTTGTTACTTTGATAATGCAAATGTTGAAATTAAAATAGCAATACTTTAACATGTAAGTTATGCAAATATTCAAAGTCAATGAACCATGACTGAAGGTACAGGGCTAAACAATCTCCATGGAAATGAGATGTGCCAATGTTAATACAACTGCAAACCAAATACCATTGTCTTTTCGTAAGTTGTTCCCTTTAAACAAACCTAAACACAAACATTAACTTGTAAACCATATAAAAGTTTCAAAGTCAATGAACCATAATTAGGGGGTGGGGTTATATAATCTCAATGGAAATGAAACTTGCAAATGCCAATACATTTGCATACCAAATATCATTGACTTTACATTAGTGGTTCATCATAAACTGACCTAATCACAAACTTATACATGAAAACTAAGCAAAAGTTTCAAAGTCAATAGACCATGAATGAGGGGGCGGGGCCAAATAATTACCATGGAAATGAAATATGCCAATGCTTATACAACTGCATACCAAATTTCATTGACCTATCACTAGTGGTTCCCCATAAACTGACCTAATCACAAACTAATACATGTAAACTAAGCAAAGTTTCAAAGTCAATAGACCTTGACTGAGGGGGCGGGGCCAAATAATCTCCATGGTAATGAGATGTGCCAGTGCTAATACAACTGCATGCCAAATATCATTGACCTACCACTAGTGGTTCACCATGAACTAGACCTAATCACAAAGTAATACATTGTTGACGCCGCTGCCGGAAACAGCATACCTATGTCTTGCTTTTTGACTCCGTCAAGGCGAGACAAAATGAGGCCAAGGTCAGTTCAACCAAGTCAAACAGACATGTACACCTTACAATCATTCCATACACCAAATATAGTTGACCTATTGCTTATAGTATACAAGAAACAGACCAAACCATGAAAACTTAATATTGACCAATGAATTATGAAATTGAGGTCAAAGTTAGACGAACCCTGCCAGACAGACATGTACACCTTACAATCATTCCATACATCAAATATAGTTGATCTTATTGCTTAAAGTATATGAGAAATAGACTTAACCAAGAAAACTTAATATTGACCAATGAACCATGAAAATGAGGTAAAAAAAAATGAGGTCAAGGTCAGATGAACCATTCCAGGCAGTCATGTACACCTTACAATGATTTCATACATAACATATTGTTGACCTATTGCTTATAGTATCTTAGAAAAAGACCTCACTTCTAAAACTCAACATTGACCAATGAACCATGAAAATTAGGTCAACAACAGATGATACCTCCAAGACAGTCAGGTACACCTTACAATCATCCCATACACCAAATATAGTTTACCTATAGCGATTGCTTATAGTACAAGAAAAACAGACCAAAACACAAAAGCTTAACATTGACCAATTAACTGTGAAAATGAGATCAAGGTAAGATGAAACCTGCCAAACTGACATGTGCACCTTACAATCATTCCATACACCAAATACTGTTGACTTACTGCGTATAGTATCTGAGAAACAGACCTAATCATGTAACTTTAACCTTGATCACTAATCCATGAAATGAGGTCAAGGTCAGGTGAATCCTGTCTACAAAAGTGAGAAATTCACATAAACTTTTTTTCAAGCAGTTATAGTTATCCATAATAAGTGAGAAATTTTCATAACAAAAAATTTAAACTTTTTTTAAGCAGTCGCTGAACAAAAATCATTTATGAAGTTTGATCAACCAATAATAACAAAATATAGCTAACAATGTTAAAACAAAAAAGAGGCACACCTGTGTCTGTATCGCTCACCTGGTGAAAACATTGCCAGTTTGCTATTTAGGACTTTTAAACTGAGTTTTACTGTGCGTATTGCTGTGTGTTTGTTTTATCTACATTGGCTAGAGGTATAGGGGGAGGGTTGAGATCTCACAAAACATGTTTAACACAGCCGCATTTTTGCACCTGTTCCAAGTCAGGAGCCTCTGGCCTTTGTTAGTCTTGTATGTTTTTTAATTTTAGTTCATTTATATGTTTTGGAGTTTAGTATGACGTCCATTTTCACTGAACTAGTACACATTTTTGTTTAGGGGCCAGCAGAAGCCTGCCTCCGGGTGAGGGATTTTCTCGCTGTGTTGAAGACCCTGGTAATAATTGGTGGCCTTCAGATGTTTTTTGCACTTTGGTTGGGTTGTTGTCTCTTTGACACATTCCCCATTTCCATTCTCAATTTTACATGTCATTTTGATAGTAAAATGCAAATGTTGAAATTAAAATAGCAATACTTTGAAATGTAAAATATGCAAAATTATTAAAGTCAATGAACCATGACTGAATGAAAAAACAACAGAATACCAAATATCATTGGCTTATCATAAGTGGTTCCCCTTAAATTGACCAAATCACAAACTTTAACATTTAAACTATTTAATTGTTTTTCATTTAATAGACAAATATCCATGACTGTGAGGGAAGGGCCAAATTATCTTCATGAAAATGAGATGTGCCAATGCTTACACAACTGCATACCAATTATCATTGATTTAACATTAATCCAACTTAATCACAAACTTTAACAAACTGTTGGTATAGCACACACCCCTAGATCTCAACTGCTTCATATGCACATTTCACAATTTAGAGATCTTTCTTTCATTATATGTAACCAAATTTCTAATAAAATTGAGAATGGAAATGGGGAATGTGTCAAAGAGACAACAACCTGACCATAGAGCAGACAACAGCCGATGTATGATTGACTTTTTTGTAATACAATATAAATTATTGAGTAAGCATCATGAAACAGGTCAAGATTTTATATACCATTGGAAGGGTAACTAATCATTACAAAATTATCTACCAAGCACAACCCTAATTTGGAATATATTTCAAAAAGTTATGATCATTATGAACATGTGTACACTAAGTTTCAAGTGGATTTGACTTGAACTTCATGGAAACTTAATGAGAAAGTCCCTTATACTAAAATTCTAACCCAAAACAGAATAACAGATGATGGACTATAGAAAACAATAAGGTAAAAACCAATTCAAACAGGATAAATCTTAGAAAAAATTAAAGATGGACTTTTTATGATCAAAGAAGATTAAAATTAAATTAATATATGCTCCACTATAATTTATTATGAATCTAAATCTCAGGGTTTTTGTGTGTACAAAGAAATATATAAAGTTTCATTTGTAAATTTGGATGGTTAAAATTTTTTTTATATCAAAACAAACTTACAATACTCAATCTAAATTTCATACTTTCAGATGCAGATGGTTGACCTCTCTTTCTCATCACAGAGGAATTAGTACTGTTTGGAGGTCTCCCAGGACCTTTCCATACTGAATGTACTTCTTCCACCCCATCAGTAGATTTTGGAGGTCGCCCACAGCTTCTCTTTATTGGATGAACATCTTCCTCATCATATTTTTTTTTAGGTCTTCCTTTGCCTTTTTTAACTGGCTGTACTTCATCCTCCTCATCAATGATAATTGAGTCATCCTCCTCATCACTTATATTTTTAGGTCTCCCTCTGCTTTTTTTTACTAGCCCTACTTCTTCCTTCAACATATATTCATTTTCACTGTCAGATTGTTCTTCTATACTAACATCAAAATACTCTGTGTAATCAACCGCTTGCTTTGGAGATCTCCCAAGACTTTTCCTTACTAACTGTGCTTTGTCATCTCCATAAGTCCATTTCAGAGGACTCCTACAGCTTCTCTTTATTGGCTGCACTTCCTCCTCCTCACTCCTTATTTTCTTAGGTCTCTCACAGCCTTCTCTTACTGGCTGTTCTTTCTCTTCTGACATATATTCATTTTCACTGTCAGATTGTTCATCTATATCTTCGGCATCCTCTGTGTAATTAACAGCTTGCTTTGGAGATCTCCCAAGACTTCTCCTTGCTGACTGTACCCTTTTCTCCCCGTCAGTAGATTTCAGAGGTCTCCCAGGGCTTCTCTTTAATAACTGTACTTCATCCTCCTCATAACTATTTTTTTTAGGTCTCCCTCTGCCTTTTTTTACTGGCTGTTCTTCTTCCTCCTCCAACATAAATTCATTTTCACTGTCAGATTGTTCTTTTATATCTTCAATATCCTCTGTGTAATCAACTGCTTGCTTTTGAGATCTGCCAAGACTTCTCCTTACTGACTGCACTTTTGGCTCACAGTAAGTAGATTTCAGAGGTCTCCCGCGGCTTCTTTTTATTGGCTGTACTTCCTCCTCCTCATCTCTTATTTTTTTAGGTCTCCTTCTGCCTTTTTTTACTGGCAGTTTTGCCTCCTCCAACATAAACTCATTTTCACTGTCAGATTGTTCTACTACATGAATATCTTCAACTTCCTCTTTGTTATTAACAGCTTGCTTAGGAGATCTCCCAGGACTTTTCCTTACTGACTGCAATTTTTCCTCCTCTGACATATATTCATTTTCACTGTCAGATTGTTCTTCTATACTAAAATCAAAATACTCTGTGTAACTAACATCTTGTTTCTCATATGGATTTTTCCGAGGTCTTCCAGGACTTCTTTTCATCGCATGTACCTGATATTCCTCATAAGTAATTTTTGGAGGTCTCCCAGGACCTTTCCTAACTGAATGTACTTCTTCCTCCCCATAAGTAGATTTCAGAGGTCTCCCAGGGCTTCTCTTTAATAACTGTACTTCATCCTCCTCATAACTAATTTTTTTAGGTCTCCCTCTACCTTTTTTAACTGGTTGTTCTTCCTCCTCCTCATCCCTTATTTTTTTAGGTCTCCCTCTGCCTTTTTTAACTGGCTGTACTTCCTCTTCCTCATCCCTTATTTTTTTAGGCCCTCTACCTTTTTTTAGTGGCTGATCTTCTTCCTCTTCCAACATGTATTCATATTCACTGTCAGATTGTTCTTCTATACTAGCATTAATATTCTCTGTGTAATTAATAGCATGCTTTTGAGATCTCCCAATTCTTCTCCTTGCTGACTGTATATTGTCCTCCCGATAAGAAGATTTTGGCGGTCTCCCTTGGCTTCTCTTTATTGGCTGTTCTTCTTCCTCCTCCAACAAATATTCACTTTCGCTGTCAGATTGTTCATCTATATTTTCAATATCCTCTATGTAATTAACATCTTGCTTTGAAGATCTCCAAGGACTTCTCCTTGCTGACTGTACTTTCTCCTCATGATAAGAAGACTTTGACAGTCTCCCTTGGCTTCTCCTTATTGGATGTTCTTCATCCTCCTCATACCTTATTTTTTTAGGTCTCCCTCTGCCTTTTTTTACTGGCTGTTCTTTTTCCTCTTCCAACATATATTCATTTTCACTATCAGATTGTTCTTTTTCCTCATCCAACATATATTCATTTTCACTGTCAGATTGGTCTTCTATACTAACATCAAAATACTCTGTGTAATTAACAACTTGCTTTGAAGATCTCCTAGGACTTTTCCGTGCTGACTGAGCTTTGTCTTTTCCATAATTAAATTTCAGAGGACTTCCATGGCTTCTCTTTGGCTGAACTTTATCCTTCTTCTCCCTTATTTTTTTAGGTCTCCCTCTGCTTTTTCTTATTGGCTGTTCTTCTTCCTCCTCTGACATATATTCATTTTCACTGTCAGATTGTTCTTCTATACTAAAATCAACATCCTCTGTGTAACTAACATCTTGTTTTTCATATGGACTTTTCGGAGGTCTCCCACAACCTCTTTTCACCACATGTACCTGATATTCCTCAATAGCATTTTTCAGTGGTCTCCCAGGACCTTTTCTAACTGAATGTACTTTTTCCTCCCCATAAGTAAATATCAGAGGTCTCCCAGGGCTTCTCTTTAATAACTGTACTTCACCCTCCTCATCCCTTATTTTTCTAGGTCTACCTCTGCCTTTTTTTACTGGCTGTTCTTCTTCCTCCTCCAACATAAATTCATTTTCACTGTCAGATTGTTCTACTTCATGAATATCTTCAACTTCCTCTATGTTATTAAAAGCTTGCTTAGGAGATCTCCCAGGACTTTTCCTTACAGACTGCAATTTTTCCTCCTCCAACATATATTCATTTTCACTGTTAGATTGTTCTTCTATACTAAAATCAACATCCTCTCTGTAACTAACATTTTTCTTCTTATATGGATTTTTCCGAGGTCTTCCAGGACTTCTTTTGACCGCATGTACCTGATATTCCTCATTAGCATTTTTCGGAGGTCTCCCAGGACCTTTCCTAACTGAATGTACTTCTTCCTCCCCATAAGTAGATTTCAGAGGTCTCCCAGGGCTTCTCTTTAATAACTGTAATTCATCCTCCTCATAACTATTTTTTTTAGGTCTCCCTCTGCCTTTTTTAACTGGCAATTCTTCTTCATCCAACATATATTCAATTTCACTGTCAGATTGTTCTTCTACAATATTTTCCACAGTTTCTGTGTAACTAACATCTCCCTTGCCAAGACTTGTTTTATTCCCATCATACTTCTTCCCAGAACCTTTAGGTCTACCACCTGGTTTCGTAGCAGTAGGTGATTCCTTTTTTTGCAACTGTAATAGAGATTTTTATATTTTAGTCAATTATCAACTCAATTCAAATGAGGTCACAAAATATGCCTCTCCAGCATCTGTTACAGACAATAAAACGCTGAAATTTTTATGGAAACATTCAAGGACTGTGTGTTCAAATTGTGCAATCATTTAACTGAATATGCCAGGAAACAAATTTTAACATGTGCACTGTGTATACATAATAGAAATTTAAAGTGAATGACAAGGGGGTATCAATAAATGGTAATAAGATAAGCAAATTCTAATGTATCTGTATACAAAATTATCCTCACCTTATCATTATTGATTCTTGTAAATAAAGGCAACAGTAGTATATTGCTGTTCGAAATTCATAAATCGACTGAGAAAAAAACAAATCCGGGTTACAAACTAAAACTGAGGGAAACACATCAAATATTAGAGGAGAACTACGACACAACAGAAACACAACATTAAAATGTAACACATACAGAAACGAACTATAATATAACAATGGCCATTTTCCTGACTTGGTACAGGACATTTTAAGAAAAAAATGGTGGGTTGAACCTGATTTTGTGGCTAGCCAAACCTCCCGCTTTTATGGCAATATCAAATATAACATTAAAATGACAACATTACATGACAGGACTACAATACAAATAAATAGAACACATAGGACAGAGAAACATACGAATAATAGCTAACAAAAGGTACCAGGTTTAAAATTTAATACGCAAGACGCGCGTTTCGTCCACACAAGACTAACCAGTGACGCTCAGATCAGAATGTTCGAAAGCCAAAACAAGTACAAAGTTGAAGAGCATTGAGGACCAAAAGTTCAAAAAAGTTGTGCAAAAAATGATCATTGTGCATGTTTACTTTTGGTGTATTTTTTTGTGTCATTTTCTACAATTTTGTACTTTTTGCAAACTTTCATCATGTAAGCCATGCAAAAATTTAAAAGTCAGTGTTTTATCATGGAGCCATGAGGTAAAATAATCTCCATGGAAATGATATGTGTTAATGCTGGTAGCTATAGCTTACTAAATATTTCAATCATATCAAAAGAGGTTTCTATGAAAATAACCTAGCAGGGATGGGCACGATTACTGACAAATGTAATCGATTAATAATCGATTACACGAAGGATTTTTGTGCAATCGATTACTCTGATTTTTGTAATTGTAATCCATTGCAATCGATTACTTTATCAAAAGAAATTACATTGCTTTCCGATTACTGTCGATTACATGCTATAAAGTAATGAAGTAAGTTTAAACACAATTATGTTGCTCAACTTATTTAGAGTGGATATTTAGAGTGGAACTTTACAAAAACAGAGGAACTAAACTATTTAGAAATTCTTGAGTGAGTGATGATATTAAAACATGAGAACATTCTTGAAATGACTTCTACCATTGCATCAATCGCTTCTTTATATTGTAGGTTATTTTCCTATAGTTTGCAAATTTTTGCTGTCATACTGACTTAAGTTTGATATTTACTCGTTATCAACAGGTATATTTGAATATTATTCATTACAATGTGAGAGGTTTCCTCTGAAAAAAATTACATAAAAAAGAAGAAGAATCGAGTTCAGCTAATTTTAAAAGATGGAAATTTATAATTTATAATTACATGAATGAAGTAATCCTTTTGTTTGGATAATCCCCCTAATTACAGGTTATAAAACTGCCAATGGAGAACAATTCATAACTTATGGCAATATAATGAATTAAATATCTCACTTAATTAGACATAATTGAAATCAAATCAAAGTCTGAGTCTCATTGATTAGAAGTCTTTGATCATCTGATTAGTAAAAACAAGAAGGTTGTTGAGAATTCTTTGTTCTCTATTCAAAATCATAAACAATATACATTTTAGTGTCAAAATGGGATAATTGTATCTATTTACCGAGCAAAAATTTCAATGCATTGGTTCATTGTCAAAACGATTTTGTATTCTTTCCTAATTTTGATGCTATATACCATTATGACGAATCAATAGTTTATCTATTCTAAGCTAAAAATTCTAACTGTAATTGAAAATTAAGCTTTAAGGAATTTTATTACAAATAAGCTTACAACTTCAATGTAGTACAGAACTTAACTTAGGACAACATGTATTTTCCTATTTTGAATCAATTTTCTTATTTTCAACATTTTTGTGTTTAACATAAAAGGTCTTAAATTATTGACAAGCATTGAAAGTCATTTATTTCAAAAGCTGGAAATATAGTAAAATTTGTTAGATCTGGTTAATCATAATGCAGCTTGAGACAACAGATCTAAATAAGGTATTTGATAAACTCTCAAGTAATATTAATACATTCTATTTTATCAGTACTATAAATTGATGAATACATGCATTTGTCTAGTTTCATTTAAACTAGGTTTTATTTCATCAAACTATTTAACTAAAGTAATCGAAATGTAATCGAAAAGTAATCAATCGATTAAATTACAATTACATGTAATCGAAAATGTTGTTGATTACAGATTACTGTCGATTGCTTGAAAAAATGTAATCAATAACAATCGATTACGATTACAGATTACAATTACCCCATCCCTGTAACCTAGTCAAAAACTACAACAATTGCTGATGTCACAATTGACAACTGAAAGCAACAAGATCTGTTTATGACGTCTTTACCAATTCCATTGAATGTGTTCATGTTCAGATTGATATTTCAGTCTTGGATGCATGTTTTTCTTTTTGTTAGTTGTTAACAGCTTTGAACTAGCTTTCAGTAACTGAGAGTACTTTCAGATTAGTACAAAACTTTGTGTCTTAAGTCATTTTGTTAGTTGTTTTTTGTTTGCTTTAACTTGCACCAATCTGATGAGTCAAGTCTTATCAACTGATTTTTATAGTTTCTTATGTTGTGCTGTAACACCAATGTCCAAAGTTATGGGAGGGTTGGGCGCCCATTAACATGTTTAACTCCTCCACAATTTGTTTATGTCTGTCTTCAGTCAGGAGCCTGTAATTCAGTGGTTGTCTTTTGTTGCTTTCTCATATTTGTTTTTCGTTTATTGTTTTGTACATAAATCAGGCTGTTAGTTTTCTCGATTGAATTGCTTTAGATTTGTCATCTTCTGTGCCTTTTATAGCTTTCTATGCAGTATGGGTTTTGCTCATTGTTGAGAGCAGTATGGTTACCTATAGTTGACAACTTTTACGTCATTTGGTCTCGGTGGAAAGTTATCTCATTGGAAATAATCCTACCACATCTATTTATTTTTAAAATCAATTCCCCTTTCATCATGTCAGAACATAGGACAAAAGGGAGATTATCTGCCACTTTTGGCTTACAGAAAGTCCCTACAAGAGTCATTAGATAGCTCACTTTACACTGATTTCAAAAATACAAGGTTTCGATATACCTTTGCCTGAAATAAGGGAGGTAATTTTCTACTTCCCTTTAAGACACTGATTCTAAAAATATGCCATAGGCATAGCATACTTTATGTTGTTTCAAAAATATGCAGTTTCTATGTTTCTAAAATAAGGCAGATAAGTAGGTACTTCAGGTTTCCAAATTTTTGCTTCCGGTTTCATAAGAAAAAGACCCTTGGACTGTATCATGTACCAATAAGCAGTTACAGCAAAGGTCAAAATCTAGAACTTCAAATTCATCTTTGACCTTGACCTCAATTTCATGGTCATCCAGCTAGGACCTCAAATCAAAAGACACTAGGTCCCTACTATATATGGTAAATATTACCATAGAGATTATCTGAAATACAACAGAGGAAATAAATGTGGATAGTGTCCACATGTGGACACAGATGATGCCCCCGCTTGCATATCATATAGTTATAAAGGGACATAACTGAAGAACGGTAAAAGTGACGCTACCCAAATTTGAACTTGATCTTAGTTTTGTGGTAATGAATATTGTGTATAGGTTTCATAATGTTTGGTTGGGGCAAACTTAAGTTACAGAATGGTAACTAAAAATTTTGCAATCTTTCAATATATAAAGGGGCATAACTCAATAATGGTTAAAGTGACACTACCCAATTCAACTTGATCTGTGTTTTATCAGTGGAAGTCAAAATTTAACATTGCATTGTATAAAGCATTGATTGTAGTTGGTTCAATTATAATCATTGACAAAGGAAGATAACTCCAATTTTAAAAATTACTTGATATTTAGAAGAAAATAAAAATTTTGCAATTTTTCCATTTATAAAGGGGCCTAACTCTAGAACGGTTAAAGTGACGCCACCAAAATTCAAACTTGATCTGTGTTTTGTGGTAATAAGCATTGTGTAAAAGTTTCATAACATTTGGTTGAGGCAAACTTAAGTTAGAGAACGGAAACTAAAAATTTTGCAATTTTTCCATTTATAAAGGGGCATAACTCTAGAACAGTTAAAGTGACACGACCAAAATTCAAACTTGATCTGTGTTTTGTGGTAATAAGCATTGTGTATAAGATTCATATCATTTGGTTGAGGCAAACTTAAGTTAAAGAACGGAAACTAAAAATTTTGCAATTTTTCCATTTATAAAGGAGCATAACTCTAGATCGGTTAAAGTGACGCCACCAAAATTCAAATTTAATCTATGTTTTGTGGTAATAGGCATTGTGTATAAGTTTCATAACATTTGGTTGAGGCAAACTCAAGTTAGAGAACGGAAACCAATTTTGGGACGTACAGACGGACGGACATACGTACAGACAGACAAGGGTAAAACTTAATGCCCCCACCACTACGGCGGGGGCATAAAAACTCTAATAAATGTCAACATACCCTGTCAACCAAATTCAGTGTTTAAGACATGTGGCAACTAACAATTTAATAAAACATTTTGTTGATACCTTATACGGTTTCTGAAGAAAAGGTATTATTAGCAAAAATCAAAATTTAGAACATGACTATCTTGAGGGTTATTAACTTGTTAGACTTGTGAAAAGAAAATAACATCTTGCTAGTTGAGATGCTTTATGATTCTATGATTTGTAGATATGTAACAATAGCATTATGTTACATTACAATAGTGTGTGTGAGAAAGTCTGGGAAATAGTTACATAACATTAAATTCTAAAGTCTCTTGGCTCATATTCACGACAATGACCTTCACATCATTTTCTTTTTGGTAAACAAAGCACTCAAATCAAAAGACCCTTGGTCTCTATCAATTTTGTCGAAACCTTTTACGTTGCAAAAGAGTAGTGCGCACAAGAAAAACAGTGTTCTGGGAGATAACTCTTACATGGAAAAGTGTTTGGTTAAGCAGTGTCATTTTTAAAAGCATATCAACTGTTCAACATCATTTACCAAATATCTAAGTGAGATATGAGATATTAGGTTCTTGCACAGAGTGATATACTCATTGGGGTAACCATTCTAACCAATCTCTCTCTTTCGTCCCTTCATCTTTCTTCCTTTCTGTTAATCATATTTTAGCCTTAGGTGTGTGCACGCAAGTATGTTATTGTGTTTATAGTAGCTAACAGCTAATAAGACTGAATACCTTTAAAGATTTGAGGGGTCTTCCTCTTCCTTTTTTTTCTTTCTTTGGGCTTCCAGGTCCTAAGTACCTTTTCTTAAGGGATAACAGCTGTTCATCTTTGAGTTTATGTTTAGCTCCTGGAGGCCTGCCAGGACATTTTGACGATAGACCCTCATTGTCATTATTGAATATAACATTATATTCACTTCCATCAACATCAGAGTATTCCATTTCTGTTGCTGTATCATTGGTTTTCAAGATATCTTCTTCCATATTCATTGATAGCAGACAATTTCCAATACTTCAAACAAAAACTCCTAGATCCTCAGACGTGAATTTACTGTTTGACTCTGTTGTAAGACGTGAATTTACAGTTTGACTCTGTTGTAAGACGTGAATTTACTGTTTTGTTCTGTTAAAATAAAGTTACTGTTTGAATCTTTTGAAATATCATAGTATGTTTAAGGTTGCACTTTGTAAATACAGCTGATTCACAAACCATGCCTCCATGCTCAAGAAATAATTCATGGAAGCCATAGATTTGTTGGAAATTTACACATGGCCTGGGCCATGTGCAAAATTTACAATAAATCTATGGCTTCCATGAATTATTTCGATTCTAATAGGACAAATACAGTTATTAAAAAACTGGAGCGAGGGTGGGTTTCCGTGTGTGTGGCTGTTCTATTTCACTCCCGGTTAGATAAAGCTAAAACATTCTAATGAATCTGTAGCTTGCATGAATTATTTCGTAAATAACCACTAGAAAAAATGTGCTTAATTCTTTTAATTCTCAAACCCAACGTTTGCCATTTTTAATTTACATTTTTTTCTCGTAAGCTACCGTCAAATCCACAATTAACATTTCGTAACTAAGGAGCTGCCATGTTGACTTGCTGAAATCAGTAAATATGCGAATAATGCAATAGAATAGAAAATAAAACAACACCTACCTCAAAAATCAAATTTAATGAAATATTATTCGAATTTCGATGGTTTACGTAATGGAAAAAGCCTTCAGCTTTAGCGTTTTCATTTGTATGACGTTATGTTTTGAAAATACTTAAATGCGTCATAAGAATTAATGGACTTTCGCGGATTTTTATTTTATTTTGATTTTGTACATTTCTCCGAGCTCTGGTGCATTAATTCTTTTTGTTATGCATCAGAGTAAGAATAAAAGTTCTGTAGTCTTTTTTCAATTGCAATTTTTAAAACAATAAAATCGGCATTGCGATTGCAAATAGGTTACGAAACATGTGGATTTACGTGGGAGGTAAATTGTAACATCCATTTGTAAGTATATATCTGAGTTTGCGCTAAGTATAGATATATCGAGAATTTTATCACGGTGTTGTTTACAAAGCGAAAGAAGCACTTCATATTAGAATTAGTATTCATATATATTTTGTTTTACTTACCTACTGGTTCCCAGAAATGATTTCCATGTTTCATCTCATAGAGAGACAACTTGGGAATTTTACCAGTATAAATACAATATTTACAGAAGCGACCTTATAGGGGTAAATTCAGTAAATAAATGTTATAAAGGACCACCCTTTATGGGGTGGGATTGGGAGCTTTCTTCAGTATAACATTGAAGACCAGTGCTCCACAGATTGTTAGATGAAGTTTTCAATAAATGTTTTGTGTTTAGATGGATCAAAACTATATGTAAAAACAAGATAGTCCTTGTTTATTTTTAACCTGGCGCACATGCAACGTATATAGATCTGTGTTATAAAATTGAGAATGTGTCAAAAAGACAACAACCGGACCAAAGGGCCGAAGGCCACCAATGGGTCTTCAACACAGTGAGAAAATCCCGCACCTGGAAGCAGCTGAAGCTGACCCCTAAACAAAATGTGCACTACTTCAGTAAAAATGGACTTCACACGAAACTCCAAAACATACATGTATAAATGAACTAAAATTAAAAAACATACAAGACTAACAATGGCCAGAGGCTCCTGACTTGGGACAGGTGCAAAAGTGCAGCGAGGTTAAACATGTTTTGTGAGATCCAAACCCTCCCCCTATACCTCTAACCAATGTAGAATAAATATAAACACACAGCAATATGCACAGTAAAACTCAGTTTAAAAGAAGTCCAAGTCCTATGTCTAAATAGGTAACAAAAGAAACTCAAAAGCAAAATGATACATAAATTAACAAAGGACTACTAACAGTTACTGACATGCCAGCTCCAGACCTCAATTTAACTGATTAAAGATTATGTCTTCATCATATGAAAATGAAGCACAATTGCTCCCGTTAAGGGTTTAGTATCATACCATCATAATATATATATTAGAAGAAGAGGGTGGTAAAGGGTTATTTTCGTGCAACGTGATCGCTGTTCTTTATTTCACGTTCAACGTGTTTTTACTTTTTTATTTAACGTTCAGTCGTGCAAGACAGGTGCCTCGTTCAACGTGTTCTGTTTATTTAATTTTACGTGCATCGTGATTTTCAAATGCTTATTTTGCGTGCTCTGTATTTTTCAAATAAAATTCAAATACTTGGCAGGGATCGTCAAGAAATACTTTTCTAAAAGCCGTAAACCATTTACATCATAAATGTGTATACTAAATCAGGAATAACAAGTAAAACAGAGAGTTTATATATACAAGAAGACAATGCATTTAAAAAATTAATTACAGGATTGAAAAGTGATGGGTAATCGTAAAAGTTTAGCGCGCTAAATTATAGTGTTTGTAAACAAAGCCATGTCACGTGGACGGCCCAAAAATGCATTGATGATAGCAAACGATTGGTCTACTTTAAGGAAAAATATATATAAAAGCTTCTAATTTCTAAAGGTAAATTGGTATAAATCTAATGAAGAAATGGATTTGCATTGAAGTCATTACCTAAATGGGAGATTTCTAATTAATTTACCCCCTCAATGTTCGACTCGCATGTCTGGGGAACAGTTGAACGGCAAACGCCTGAATCTGACAGATAGAGGTCAATTTGTCGACAAAAAAAGTACCCGTATGTAAAATGTTTACGCCCACAAACAGCGCCACCTATATTTTTTCTACGGCGTCTTTGAGAACGATGTTCCGTTCTGTAGTAAATTAAAACATTAAATTAACTAAAACATAGAAAAGTAAGTGTATAAAACTAATTAAAAGATATATTTGCACATGACTGGTTATGCATGATACGCTGGCAATGTGCGCAATGTCCTTTAATCCAAGATTCAAAATTAGTTTGTTTCCTATGTCAAAATGGCGGATTCCAATGTTTACATTTTTCCATCGATTTGAGAGCTGACACAAATTCGTATCCAATCATTAATTTGCATATTATGTACTGTGTAGGGTAGCTTATCCAATGGGATTTACTGTTATAAAGTGGCTATACGTTACCAGCCATCGTTACAACAGTGCCATGTGTTTTGTGTGTATAGCTCAGGAATGATGTGTATTCAATATTTACGGTAAATAATCAATGTTATGTTCATTATATTTCCATGCATACACAAGTCATAACAGCAAATGCATTTTTTATAGAACTTACTAGGTAAACAGACATGTTTAACTGTCTGCTTTAGCAAACATTCGTGTAAATAAACCCGATGGGTCGTTTTGAATATTCAAGCACAGCAGACAAACACGTGGTAGATTATTGATGTTTGTTTACCTAAATTGCACGCTGTTATCGTGTTATTATTGTTTAACAGCAGATAAAATTAATTTTACAATTGCATTTAACTACTTTCAAGAGTTATATAATACACCTTGCCTAAGAAATAGGTCTAGCTAGGTCCATGGACCTCCTTTACTAGGTCCTTAAAAAAAGAGGCTGTAATAATGTACATGATGTAAATTACCATATTTACATTCCAGCATTTTTTTGCATTTGATATATTTCATATACATGTACATGTATGTACATAGAGAACAATAGAGTAAATGAACATACATGGGTTTAATTCCCACCCTAGGTATTAATTTTAATACTCATTAGAGGTTGGAGCAAATAGGGCAGATTGCAATCGATCATAATGTAGTGTCTAAAAATGCTGATTGATGTGGCCAAGTCCTCAACAACCTTTTTTCTAAGTATACAGCAGCTCCTTTAAGGATTAGTAAGGGAACACTTTACATATAGTCCAGTGGCTAAGTCCTGTCTTTTTTGTCTCTATTATTTCCTTATTTATATTATTATATTTCTTATATTCTCTTGTACATGTAGTAAGCTAAAAAGCTATCATTACTCTTTTTCCTCATCTGCCTGATAACAATGAAATGTATTCATTGTTGATGTCTGTAAAGTGACTTATAATTTAACTGCTAACAGACATTTGGACTCTGGTGGATAGTTTCTATACTGTTATCTCATTGGCAATCATACCACATCTCTTTATTTTAGTACAGGTTAAGTATTCAAAGTAAGTGACTAACAAACATTAAATCATTTGAAAGAAAAATTCTGCAATGATTTCAGTTTACATATATCAACAATAAGATTTGGTTGTGTAAATTGTGTCATTATGTTTATAATGACCACTGTAATTGTGAACTGCCATGACTGTCTTGTACAAAATATATTTGAATAAGTTCCCTAATGAATAGTATATAGATGTTTAAAAAAACAAATGTATGTACTAGTTCCACATCTATCAATTCAAAAATAATTGATGTTTTTTTTAATTAATTGAATAATAACAACTTATTGCAATACTCATGATGATCATGATATTAAAATACAAACTAGCATTCTTATATGTGATACATATATAACTTAATGCAGCTTATTCTGAAATTGTAAGGTATGTCATAAAAAAGAGATTTTTTGTAAAAGTTACAAAAATTGTCTGTATTTCAACCACATTTAGGCCTAAGAACCTTAAATTTTTAAGTGTAGAGGTTGACAAGTCATGACTGTAAATTCAGATATTATCATGAGGTTTTTATTAAAGTAAATAATGCGATTAAATTGATTATCTCAATAAAAAGAACTCTCATTCTGATTTGATACTATGAGATTTTTTCTGATATCAGAAAAATAAATATCTCATTGTTGTCCATTCTTCAAAAAATTTCTGAACATACTGTACATGTATTTAAGTCAGCTTTGTTTTTGTCTGAGACTACTATAACATGGGAAGTGACCAATCTCTATGTTAATTGTTATAGTAGTCTCAGGTTTTTGTTTTGTAGTTCAATTGACTATGCATTTTAGAGCAGTTAAATATGAATTTGGATTAAATTTGAAGTTGATTCAGTATATTTTATGACATAATAACACTCTTTTATTTAAACGAAGCATTTTCAGACTTTATTTACAGACCAGCTTAGCTAATCATTCATTATTCAATCAATAATTTAATTAAAAGACTCAACAGTTGTTTGTAGGACTTATGAATTCAAATATAAGGGGAAAAAATCAAAACTTGAAGTAATACATGCAATAGGAATTATGAGAACTGCATGATATCAGATTGCAATACAGCTTTTTGTTCAGTTTTCTTTGTGTTGATTATAATGTTTTAAATCCCTTTCCGGCTTTTTGGATGTTCAGATTTTTTCTCTTGATTAAGAGCGAGCAACGGAACTTGTACATCTTATATAGTTTCTTATCTCGGGGGTGGATCAAGCAAATTTTCAAAGAGGAGGGGGCATGTATTGTCTACATTTTCTTTTTTTCCATATTGTATTTTAATGTAATATTAATGCAAAGTTAAATTCTATTGTAACACAAGTTCTGCTGACAAATGGCTGATAAACCCCTCTTGTATGTAATTATTTGGCATGAAATGAAATATGTTTTTTTCTGTATATGGAATTTAGGAATAATCCACCCTCTCTTTATAAAAGACCTGGATCTGCTTAAAAGTTCTTGCTTTTCTCAGAATTTTCCATTGTTACATCAGGAATAAAGGCTACCAATAATCATGCTTGACAATCATTGAGGTCACACATAAAGAACACATCTCTTTGCAGATCATAGTAGAAAAACAAAGATACAATGTAGTTGGTAACATAAATGTATTTAAAAATATCAAGAGAAACATTCCCATACAGAATCTCTGTCAATAAGTTATTTTTCCACTCTTAACAGTGAAATCTTAAATATGTAAATTGATCGGCAAGCCTCACATCTTGAAAAATAAAATGTCTGTAGGAAAGAACTATTGTTTCACAATTGATGCTGTGTTAGAATTTATAATATCACTCTTTTTTCTCCATATGATCAGCATAAAAAGTGACAAGTTCTTCAGTCTAAATAACTTTGTTAAATCTCATTTCTGATGGAACATTTTCAGTGCACCAGATTAACAACTTTCTATGTTAGATACTTATTTAAATATAAAAATTCAAGTCTAATTTTAGAGTGAAATTTTAATATATTTAAACAAACTGTTCTAAACAACCAACATGTACAAACGCTGAGTTTATTTTCATATCCTTTCTAAGAATATTGATACAAAGAAAGTAAAACAAAGACTTGTATCATTCCATCTACCAAAAGGGTGTTTGAGAATATACAAATAAGTCCAAGTTTCAGAGAAAAGTCAGTTATCTATAATTTTCTTCTTTGGAAGTTTTCAAAAACCTGTTTTAGGGTACTTGAAAAAATGCCATATTCAAACATTACATGACTATTTTAATGTTACAAGAGTAGAGGAACATAAAATATTGAATGGTTATTCAAGAAAGTGTCGAAATATAACTACAATCATTAATTTTACTCGAATTTACTGTTGTGAACTTGCAGTTTCCTACGACGCGTGTACGGAGTTATCTCCCGTTGATCTCCGCTTCGCCACGAATAAGCTGACACAATTGCGTATCCGGGGAATTTATGATCTATAATTAAAATATAAGATGCAGAAAATGGTTTTACTTCATATTTTATACCCCTCCATACGTTACCAAACCCATTTAAGAAATGATTTGGGATTTTCCGTAGACCTACGCAAATTTTCCAAAAAAAATTTCAACTTCCATCGTTGTTTTAGAATACTTTATAACACCTTTCATAAATAAGTATACATAATAATGAAACTTATTCACTCAAGATTTGGACCCTACAAGTTTTATTTATGTACGAGTTACAATTAGACGATACGAGGTAAAAAACCAAGAGGTGTACACGTTCACAAGAAAACGGTAAACTCTGACCTTTTATCACGTGACCAATGTCTTGAACTTAGACGCCATTAAAGCGTTTGCCGTTCAACTGGAAGCTGTATCTGCATCTGTAATAAATCTTCACCTCCAATATAGGAGATCGAGGAAATCCTCATTTTATAGCTATAAATACGTTACCATCTGTATCTGTATCTGTATCTGTATCTTCATATATTCTGCCAATATAGGCACACCTTCAGTACGAAGTAATAAATCCAATATAAATCCAATCACCAATAGAATTATAATACAGTCTGTACACAATAAGAATGTCAATATATTCCTTCACCAATATCACATATCAAGACTTATTTAAAATAAATTCTGAGTGTACCCCAACTGCGTCATTAGGTCAGATGGAATATCCCCGACTAAAAATAAACGTACTATCACTGGTCCGAACATATACCCCTGTGTACCCATATTCTCCCATTCAATTTCCATCTTTGACTCCTGCAGTAGCTCCTTCTAACCCTGTACCTGACTCTCGAGCTCAGTCTTCTAGCTCTTCTCATGGTAATCAGGGTTCTGAGTCTGCACCATCCTTAGATGGTTTTCAGAAGTTACTTTTGGACTTTGTTGAGTCTTTCAAGGCTGAGTTTAGTACTCTATCCAATCGTATATGTCTCTACTGGAGAATAGAGTTTCTTCTCATCAATCTTCTCCAGCTAAGTCTGTAGAATATGATGAGAGGGAGGTTGACGAGCTTTCTGTTTCCCTAGGAGTCCAGAAAGGGCTTTCCTCACTGGTGAGGATGTTGATACTAGTAGTTCTTCTTCTCACAAGCTATCGCAGACGGCCCCTGAGCCTACTTCTAAGTCAGCTCACCAACCTTCCACCAAGGAGACTGAGGATCCGACTTCATCCTTGAAGGATCTTAGGGATAAGGTGTATACCCTGATGAGGGATGAAGAATATTTCCCTTTTGCCCCTCCTTCCAAGCCGAAGAGACCTTCTTCAACTTTTGAAGCTTCCTGTGGTATTTCTCAGGATACTGTGACTTCTCACAATTCTTTTCCTGAATCTGGCCATATGGCATTTGCCTTACAAATTATCAATGAAGGTATTGCTAATTCGGCTAGTGAAAATTTAAGGTTGCTAATAACAATATCTCTGGTTTTGGTATGTCTTCCTTTTCTGATCACTTCAAGTACAAAGATTTTGATATCTTTGATTCTTCGCTGGGTAGACTTGTTCCCATTTGTGACAAATCTTTTTCATCTTTATTGGGAACAAAGCCAGTAGATGGTCTTCGTCTCACTCAAACTGTTTGGGCAAAGACTGAGAATCTCCTTTGTAGTGCTTCTCCAGTTCTTGGCACAGCCGAACATTTTCTAGCTGCAACCGGACATTTGTTTAACAGCGAAGATTCGGTTGTTCCAGCAGAAGTACGATCTTTTTTACTTCAACTGGATAAAGCTCTAGGTTCATCTCAGTTGCTTTAATGGGTTCTATTGCTAATTGCACCCTATCTAAAAGAGTAGAGTTTCTTGAAAAAACTTCTGTTGCTGAGTCTTTGAAAGATTTTTTACTGAAATCTCCACTTTCTGACAAGATGTTTGGTTTACCCTTACAGCAGGTTCAAGAGGAACTCAGGAAAAATCCTCCTCCTGTCAAAGTCAATGTACAAGTTAACAATGGCAAGAGGTCGGTTAATGCTACATCTAGTTCTACTAGTACTTCTGTTTCTGGTGGTCCTCCTTCTTCTGCTAAGAAAAGGAAGAATAACTACGGCAAACCTCAGAACAAATCCCATAACTCCGGTAAAAGCTCAGGTAAGACTTCTGGTGGTTTTAAGGGCCCCAAGAAATCTAGGTCTAGTACCTAGGTACTTGCCCCCTCGTACGTTATTGACAGCTTCCCCAGTGGAAAATTTACAAGTTTCTCAAAAATCAATACCAGTAGGAGGGAGGTTAATTTTTTTCCTAAATCAGTGGAAGAAAATTATCTCAGACTGTTATGTGCTGTCAATATTTCGAGGGGGATTAACACTTCAGTTCAAGAACCCACCTCCTCTGTCTGCAGTTCCGATAAGTTTGTCTCATACTCAAGACCCAGTCAAGTATCAACTTCTATCAGTAGAAGTAGAAACTATGTTACAGAAATCTGCAATAGAGGAGGTGTCGCTCTTAACTCTGTCTCCGGGATTTTATTCCCGTCTTTTTCTGGTTCCAAAGAAGACGGGAGGAATGAGGCCGGTCATAGACCTATCTATTCTGAACAACTTTCATATTGTTCCCCATTCCAAAATGGAAACCAACAGATCAATCAGGGCTTTAATCCTTCCAGGAATGTGGACTACCTCTCTGGATCTTTCAGGTGATTACTTCCACATTCACATTTCCCATACTTACAGGAAATACCTTCGCTTCGTTTGGAACAACAAAGTTTTCCAGTTCAAGGCTCTCCCTTTTGGCCTATCTACAACCCCTTTGGCTTTTACCAAAATCATGCAGGCAGCTATAGCTCACCTACATTCCCTGTCTTCAGATTCATTCCTACCTGGACGATTCCCTTCTCAAGGAATTTTGCCCAATCAAATTGAAGGTTCAGACAGATTTGGTCATCAATTGCTTTCTGTCCCTAGGCTTCCTAATTTCCTTGAAAAAGTCAGAGATAGTTCCTTCTCAAGACTTTGTTTTCCTGGGAGAACATTTCCTAACCAATCTAGGCGTAGTTCTCCCCCCCCCCCCCCCCCCCCCCCCCCCCCCCAGAGGAAAAAATTACAAAACTATGTCAGAAAATACATTTATTCCTGACTGTTCAATCAGTCACAGCACGTCAATTCTTGCAACTTCTGGGTCTATTGAATTCTCTGGCAGATGTAATTCCATTGGGACGCCTTCACATTCGTCCGCTTCAGTTTTATCTGCACAAGTTTTGGATTCCAGCTTCACAAGAATGGGAAGCATTGATTCCAATCACTCAGCCTCTATTTTCACATCTTCCATTATGGTGGTTAGTACGGGAAAATGTAATGAGGGGCCCCTCAAGTTCTTAGTCTAACTTTATTCACAGATGCCTCCACCCTCGGTTGGGGAGCATATCTGGAGGGGCTTATGTAACGGTTTATTTCTTCCTCTGTGATATTTTATCCTAGGGATAATTTGTCACAGAATTTTTTTTCCAGACATGGTAAGATGACTTAAAACATGATTTAAAAAAAATTATATTTCTAATTACTTTTTTATTTGTACTGAGACACATGTGAGATCTGAAAAAAACTCACTTTTACCTGTATTACACTTACCTTATTTTATATATTAAATTGATCATGATATTATTTCACAATTAAGATCTGTGAAATTACTTCTGGTTTTGTTTCATATGTTTCATGATATTTGTCTTTTAAAAGAATGATATTTACTTTAATATTTCAGGATATTATTTTCAATTATAATCTGTGAAATTATTTCCCATTATAATACATTTATTTGGTTTTTTATTTACTAATTTAGCTTATATTCAAATACACTATTATTAGTACATAGTATTTGCAAAGATTAAGTTTTTTTTATTAATTATTCAATATTTTAACTTCCCAGATAGAATTTCACGGCAATGGATAGTATATCACAGTGAAATATTTTCCTCCGGAAAAAAAAATAACAACTTCTATAACATTTTTTCCCCCAGATGATATTTCATCAAGATATAATTTTGCTTTACACTTACAATCGCGGGAGTCTGGAACCCAGATCTTTTGGAAGAGCATATCAATGTATTGGAAATGAAAGGAGTTCTGTTTGCACTGAATCATTTCCAACTGTCTCTAAAGAATCAGTCTGTCATTCTGGCCACGGACAACACAACAGTTGTAGCTTATCTCAAGAATCAGGGAGGAACTCACTCGCCTTCTGTTTATCAGATAGCCAGAGACATTCTCCTTCTGTGTTTTCAACTCCAGGTTCATCTAGTGGTGAGACATATTGCGGCGCACCTCAATATTCTAGCCGACACTCTATCCAGATCCCTTGCTCCAGTAAACACGGAGTGGGAACTACTTCAAGTAGTTTTCAAAGCTGTGACTCTTCATTGGGGGTCACCTCAGATAGATCTGTTTGCGACCAGTCTGACTCTCAATCACAAACTTCCCACATTTGTGTCTCCGGTTCCAGATCCGAAATCTTTTGCGGTAGACGCAATGAGCCTATCTTGGAAAGGAATGTTCGGGTACGCCTTCCCTCCTTTCAGGTTTCTCTCCTCAGTACTTCAGAAAATAGCAGGGGAGAATTGCAAGATCATAGTTATTGCTCCAGCATGGCCCAAACAGTCATGGTTTCCAGACCTTCTGCGCTTATCATGTGCTTGTCCTCTAGTTCTTCCTCTGAGACCAGACCTGTCTCAAATGAAGGGCAAGGTTCTTTATCAAAACCCAGAAAAACTTCATCTACACGCCTGGCTTCTCTCAGGGTTAGCCTCAGAAAGAGAAGTTTTTCTGAAGGAGCAACCAAGCATCTCACAAAGTCTGTCAGAGACTCCACGAGCCTTGTCTATGATGCAAAATGGTCAATCTTCTCAGATTGGTGTAGTGAGCGGGTAAACGATCCTTTCCAAGTCACTGTACAACAATTAGCAGACTTTCTAGTTTTTCTTTTTGAATCCAAAGGATTATGTCCCTCTACTATTAAGGGATATAGATCAGCTATTTCAAGAACTATTCATATTTCTGGTGGTCCAGATTTTGGAAACAATGAGCATATTTCTCTTTTGGTTCGTAGTTTTAGTCTTGAAAGACCAAGACAAAAAACTTTAGTTCCTAAGTGGGACCTTGGACTAGTTTTATCTTTTTTTAAACTTTCTCCTTTTGAACCAGCAGAAAAAATAGATTTAAGGTTTCTTTCCTATAAATGCTGTTTTCTTTTAGCTTTGGCTTTTGGACGGAGAAGGAGTGAAATCCATGCCTTCTCTCTTTCTGATGCTTGCTTCGATTTAACAGGGATAAATCTTCTGTTTCTCTTTTAACTGATCCTGCTTTTTTGGCAAAGAATTAGATTCCATATAAGAATGCAGTACCAGTCGTGATTCCTGCACTCCCTAGCGATTCTATTTCTGTGCTTTTATGTCCAGTAAGAATCCTTTCTATTTATCTGGATAGAACGTTCTGTTTCTAACTCAAGACTCTTTATTCCTATTAAAAAAGGAATCTCAGATCTGTCTGTTAAAACTATTTCTATACTTGGATATGCAAATGCATATCTTTAGCTTATGGTTCTTCTAAGGCAGAACTTTTGGATAGTTTTAATGTTTAAGCTCATGATGTTAGAGGTATCTCTACATCCTGG